GACAGACACTATTTGATTTGGCCAATTTAACGACGCTAGCCTAATGTCAGACAAGCGGTGGAGCAGTTTCATTTCTACCGAAAGTGCATCGTAAATCTGAAATTTCAATTACCTACGTATGGTCACATTTGCTTCCTTCTAGACTCTCAAGCAACAGTAACTTGATGGCAGCTAAACATGACCCTCTTTCAATGTTGTGAAAATAATTAGGTAAAATAGGACCTTGTGTGGAAGTTTAATGATCACATGAATACCGGAACCGGTGGCCGTCTCTCTCACTGAAATGACTGATATCACATTCATCCACTTCATTCGCACCGCTGGATTGTCTAATCTATAAGCTAAGTATGCACATGAACTATGACTCTCCTTTTGACTAAAGATCTACGTTTTTCGACTCTTCGGCCCGTTTCACTAAGGATATATCTTTTTAGACCAGGCCCAAGCTACGTTAGCCCTGTAATGTTTCTGTCAATTTCCTGTTCGACTGTAGGTAGCCATGAATCATCGGCGGTGGGAAATGGGATTTGTCGATTCTGCAGCAGAACTGCATCTACTTGCCATCTCATCTATGCTTTGAGGACGAGAAGGACGACTACAATGTAGTAATGTAATAGCTGCACTTTGATGCAAAAGTTTCATTTTGATGCTTGAGAGCGTAATAGCATTGTTGGTGTTTCGATAAAATTTAGCCTGGTCAGTTCCAGAAGGTTGTACTATATCTTTGAGATAGCTACCTTGAGCCGCGGTAATGGCTTTCCGACTCTTTCACACGTAAGTATGGAGTGTGTTCTTTCACACAACATGATCGGATTACGATTTTAGGGAAGACTCTGTCCACAGCAATGAAGGCAGTGCTAAGCGAAACACATACAAAAGGGAGGATAATGTGTGGTAATCAAAGTGTCAGACGCCCCACAGAAAACAATGCGCACCCACGAGATGCTGAACATGGGTCAAAGATGTACGATGGATGTAGACAAACTATTGCATTTGCACCGATTAAAAGATTGAAGCAAATATTACAAGCTTGTTCATAAATAATATCACCACAAACTGGGCTGCAGGTGCCATGTTTACTGTTTACACGACTCCGCCTTGTGGTAATAATTCGACGCTGCTATTATTGTGTAAAGTTTGCATCACCTGAAGCAAATTATGCATTTTAGAGTTTTAAGTCTTCTCTGGGGCCGTTTTACAACTAGATTTTCTTACCTAAAACCCTTAGCATTATTTTGGAAGAAACTGTAGCTATGGATCCACCACTTAAAGCGTGGTTTTGATAATGGAAGAAGGGAAATACTTGACCTTAGAATCAGTAACACAAGCACATAGGAGAGTTGGCTGTGAATCCCACTCGAATGGCCAATCGATGAGAGTTGGTCATCCAGTCGTTTGGTCGACGCCAACTAATCACATGCATGAACAAACATCTACTAGTGACCATATTTGGCAATCTTCATCCCTATATAAGTCAACACATAGTGTGCACACTCGGTTTTTTTTGGTACCCTTTTAATTTAGTAGTCCGGTACTTCTCATGCTAACCCATCCAACGTTCGACTATTCTCGTTGGCGGTGATGGTGTTTGGATTCAATGGCTGCGACACAAGCTTAGTTATTCAAGAGGCATGTGGAACAGTCTCAAGACCGACGTCAAAAAAGCAATTTTTGCCAATATTGTGGTGACTGATATTTCGGCATGCAAAGCTGAAAGTTTCAATGCCTAACCAATGCCGAGATTAATTCGAAACCACTATATATGCCTTCAAAGATATGATATTTCGGATACCTTTTGAGTGATCTATACTGCTTTGATTATGCAAAATTTTTTGCAATACTCTAAAGTTTAGTCTATATATTAAGAACAATGAGAGATCTTCGTTGCAGATGATTTTTGTCAAATCATTAGATTATCTATAATCAGAATGACCAGGTCAGGGCAACTCAATGCAAACTAACGCAGTCGTAAGAGGCTACTGCAGGTTTCGGCAATGTACGCAGTGTATTCCGATTAGCCATAAGCGTTGTGGAATAGCTTCTCCTGTAACATCCTCTTGAGGCAGTGGGGCAAGCTTCAATAATCACGATGCCTACTTCACAGTTATTGAGCTCAAATGCAAGATGCTTGTGACAGGTCCGCGTAGATTGATCAACCATGGAGTGTGGTTTGGGGCCACCACTCATGCGAGTACCCCTGCTCGGTCTCTGGGCATATCTCTGTGCCAATCTGGGCTGCATTCTCACATCTGCGTTCCTGTTGTATGACGTCATATTAATAGATTGACTGAACCGA